CCACATATGCTTGTGAATCTTTGTTCTCAGTGATGAATTTGTTAAGTCTCGCAATAGGAGTAGCCTGGCGGATGAAAGTAGTAGCTCGTGCATATCTCTGAAGGTCACGAAATATAAACCTGATGTAAAATCTCTGTCATCAGTGATGCAGCAGCAAAAGTCCCACTGATAATATCAAACGGAGTCATAAAGTTTTCTGTCGGACTATCAGTGTACATGTATACATTAAAAAATAAATGTATTTTTCATCATCATATACTGTGTTTTTGTCGCTCGAATGAATTTTATTATTTTTTCAAGGTTCTTCACATACGTACACCTTAAGAGATATCAAGTAGGCGTAACATGTTCTCAAAAAATTAGGGTTGGCACGCAGAAGAATTTTGAGTCAGAGATTTTGCTGGTTTTGGCACGCACTCACAAAAAGGTTGCCCACCCCTGTCCTAGGTAATGCTTCTATCCTTATTTCCTGAGTCTTTAAATATAAATATACTAGAGGCCCGATGCACGAAATTCATGCAAGGGGCTTGGCCCTCACAGCCATGGCGGCTGCCTCAGCCCTCGCAGCCCCGGTTTTGTCTGGAAGGTCATCTGGAAGGACATCTGGAAGGTCATTTAGCTGCCCGGTCTAATTAGCATATTATGCTTTTATTATTATAGATATGTATGCAAAGTTGTTTTACACAATGGAATTACTGAATTGTCATTTTGAGGGTAAATAAGTGGAAGTACATTTATTAAACCACACCACAAGAATCCATGATCACTGAAATTCACACACTTCCATCATTTTATCATTAAACCAAAAATCAGCAGTCTTTATGTAATAGAGCCATATCTAAAATTCATATAGATCTATGTATTTTTAAGATCAAGATACTTGTGTAATCCAACTAGAAAAAAAAAATATAAAAGTAGCCCTAGCTGGTTTGGCTCAATGGATAGAGCGTCAGCCTGCGGACTGAAGGGTGCCAGGTTTGATTCTGGCCAAGGGCACATGCCTGGGTTGCGGGCTTGATCCCCAGTAGGGGGCGTGCAGGAGGCAGCCAATCAATGATTCTCTTTCATCATTGATGTTTCTATCTCTCTCTTCTTCTCTAAAATCAATAAAATATATATTTTTTTGAAAAAAGTAAAAGTAAATGTTGGGATGAAGTTATTCAAATATTTTATTTTTTAGGACAAAGGTCTCCAAACATATTTTGCTTACATTCCTAATAAAATAATTTTGCAAAATTATGTTTCCTCCTCATAGTTTTTAATTCTAAGTTTCAATATTTGCAAAGGGTGTAATCACTGGCATATTATATATTATTTTAAGAAAATTATTATATGATTTTGATAATTGTAGCCAATGAAAAGTAAATGTCACAATAACTTGATACCTACCACAATTCACTTAAAAAACACATGTACAAGCTTATCTTTAACAGTTGGTACTTTTACACTGTCCTTTTTTTCCTTTTAAACTTGACTATGACAAGGTTCAACCTCAATTCAATTCCTATATTTAATCTGTATGGATTTAACCCTGATAAACCTTGTTAACCTGAATAGGTAGGAAAATGTTTTACTGTAGCAATGTCAGTCAAGCTTTGCACGTCTCCCAAGTTATATTCTACACGTAACAATGATGTATCATTAAAATATACTTATAAATTGAAAATTCAATTAGGTCTTACTTCATTTTTGCTGGGAAAAAAATTTACAGAATAATTTACTCCCAATAATTAGGACCATTCACTTTTTCATTCCAATACCAGCATTTTGAAAGACATTTAGGTTTTTATACATGAGGGCAATACACCAAGGTTAAGATTAGAGAAGGTGAGAGGTATTCTTTTGCAAAATTAAGAAGGGTTGTTGAGGAAGGGGAGTGGAAAAGGAGAACCAGGAGACAAGTTCTCATACAGATTCATTTTGGAAAAAGTATAATGAATGTTGATAATCTAGAAACTGATTACTTATCTACTCCTGTATAACCCTTGAAGAGCCTCATGTCCACAAATTGGAAGGCAGCTTCCTTAAAAGTCCTGATATTTATAACACTATTATAAAGCTAATAGTCCTAAAGACGCTGCTTCTAATTTGTAGCACTAAGTTGACCTAACCCCTTCCTATTTCAGTTTCTCTAAAGCATGTCTACTTACTTATTTCATAGGAATTTAAAAAGCTTTATTCAAAGGGCATAAAAGAGTAAATAAAATTTTTCTAGTTTCCTTCCTACTCAGGTCTTTTTAGAAAGGAACTACAATTATCGATCATTTATATTTTCAAATAATCCAATTATTCCTTTTTTCCTTTTTTAACATAAATGATAGCATATTATATATACTGCTCTTTACTTAGTCTATATACTTAATATAAGTATCCTGGATACTTATCTTGGATATCTTTTTATAGCAGCTTATATAATCTATCACATAGTATTCTGTTGTCATGTCATAGGTAGAAGCAATAACGCAAAATGATTATGAGCATGGATTCTAAAAAGACTGGTTGGTTTAACACTTAACTTTCCTACTTACTGTGTGACAGCACTGATCAAGTTACTGAATCTCTACATGCTTCAGTTTCTTTGTATTTAAAATGGGGATTAATAATAGTAATTACTTACCTTTATGTTATAGATATGATGCTTAAATATGCTAATACTTGTAAAGAGCTTAGTGTAGTGCCTGGCACATAATAAGCACTCATTCATATTGTAATCTAAATCTGATTAACGACCATGAGACATTTAGGTCCTTAATAAAGTCTATAAATATAAAAGATTCCTTTGGGAAAAAATATTCCTTTAGATATCACATGTAAACTTACCTTTGTTGTAATAATAATCTGTTTTCTTTTTCTTTTAAAGCTTTCTTTAGTTCTGCTGTTCTTGAAGGCCTATGTAGGTATTTCCTTTTTCCTGTGCATTCGTAAGTCCAATGTCCAAATTCCAAGCATTTCTGACATCTTACATGTTGCTTATTTGCTTCACTACAGAGCAAAAATCAGAATACAGGTCTTAAATTCTGCCCTGAAAAGCATAAACAATATAATGTGTAAAATGGTGTTTATTTTTAAATAAAAACAAACATCATTTTACATTTTAAATTGTTTATGTTAGGTTTAATCACAAGACAGCATAGTAAGTGGTTAAGAGCATGGACCTTGAAGTTAAGACAGAATTTAGCTCAAATCTTCATTCCTCAATTCCACTCCAGCAATGGCAGACTAGGTAACTCAGACAACGCTTAGGCTCAGAACTAGAAAAGACAGTGAAAACATTTAAAACAATCTGCTCGAGGCATGAGAGAACTAACAATAAGGTAAAGAATCAAGCCAAGATACAGAAGAAGATAGAAATCCAGAGTGGTCAGCCCTGTAGTTTGTATCTGCAGTTAGGACTCAGAGGGTCTATCCGTTAAGAATAAACCAACCATATAAAGAGTGCAGTCCGGTTTCTAGACATCTAGGAGACTAAGAAAAATCTCAGTTCCTGAAATTAGATTAAGATGCAGCAAGCAAAGAAAAGCAGATGAAAGAATTGGAAAGGAAGAAATCAAATTATCATTCCTCACTGATGATGTATTATGGACATGGCAAATCCAAAAGATCTACAGATAAAATATTTTTAATAGTTTGAATTCGTGAGTTTAGCAAGGCTTTGGATTGGGGTCAGCAAACTGTCTGTAAAGGGTCAGACAGTAAATATTTTAGACTTTGCAGATCAAGAGGCAAAAGCGAGGATATTATCCCCGGCTAGCATGGCTCAGTGGGCTGAGCACTGTCCCATGCTCCAAGAGGTTGCTGGCTCAATTCCCAGTCAGGGTATATGCTTGGGTGGCAGGCTCAATCCTCAATAGGAGGCATGCAGGAAGCAGCCGATTGAGGTTTCTCTATCATAGATGTTTCTATCTTCTCTCCCTCCCCTTCTCCCACTCTCTAAAAAATAATCAATAAAAACATATTTAAGGAAAAAAAGTGAGGATATTATGTAGATACTTATATAACAGAAAACAATTTTTTTTCTGGAAATATTTTGTTAATAAAAATATTTCATATAAAAGAGGTTTACTAATGAGAAGAATGGAATTCTTTTTTGGAGGATAATGTTTCACTCAATTGAGATTCAAAGTTAGTATTCCCCACCATCAAATTGATCATATATATTAGTAACATTCTTCATACCCTGGCTAGGTAGCTCAGTTGGTTGGAGTGGCATCCTGATACACCAAGGTTGCAAGTCTGATCCCTCATCAGTGCATATACAACAATTAATCAATGAATGCATGATCAATGTTTCTTTCTTTCTTTCTTTCTCTCTCTCGCTCTCGCTCTCTCTCTCTCTCTCTCAAATAAATAAATAATTTAAAAAACCACAAACATTCTTAGTTTGCAAGAATAGGCAGCAGGCGGGATTCAGTTTGCCAAACTGTATTAGATAAGGTCAACACGTAAAAATGAATTGTTCCTATATAATAAAAACAGTTAAAAATTTATTTAAATATGTTTTTATTGATTTCAGAGAGAGGAAGGGAGAAGGATAGAGATAGAAACATCAATGATGAGAGAGAATCATCAAATGGCTGCTTTCTGCACGCTCCCTACTTGGGATCGAGCCTGCAACCTGGGCATGTGCCCCAACCAGGAATTGAACTGTGACCTTCTGGTTCATGGGTCGACACTCAACCACTGAGCCACACCGGCCAGGCAAAAAATGAAATTTTAAAAGGTGACATTTATAATATCCTGAAAAATACCCAATACCTACAAATAAATAAAAGAAAATATGTGTAAGACTTTTGTGCAGAAAACAAAGATTACAGAGAGGAACTAGAGTCTCGAGGGCCACAATGGGTTCTTAAACTGGACCGGAGGGCCGGAACAAAAGCATGGATGGAGTGTTTGTGTGAACTAATATAAATTCAAAGTAAACATCATTACATAAAAGGGTACGGTCTTTTTTTTTTTTTAGTTTTATTCATTTCAAACGGGCCGCGGGCCGTAGTTTGCCCACGGCTGGGACTCTAGTTACTAGACATTTAGATAAATAGCTAATAGCTAATAGCTAATAGCTAATAGCTAATAGAGGGATATACCATGTTCATAGAATGGAAGACCCAATATTATAAAAATGCCCTTTCTCTCCAAATTGACCTATAGATTTAAAGTAATGCCAATTGGTAAAGATCTATAAGAGAAATATCTGAAAGTCTGTCAAAATGAGCTGAGACTAGTAAAAAATATCAAGAACATAAAAGATTATTTTATTTTGTGTCTTAGTTATATTGAAATCATAAAGAATATAAAAAGGGATAGGTTCACTATTTGGTGTGCTAGGTAAATAGGCCACCAATATTACATTATGGGCTTAGAGATCAAGCAGGACTATTTTATTTTGCTTCAGTCTGAACTCAGGTATTATTATCCTCCTATATAATAAAAGCCTAATATGCAAATTGTCCCCTTGACTGCTTGCTATGACATGCGCTGACCACCAGGGGATGGCACAGAACATGGTGGGCACCGGCGATGTGGCACTGGCAGTGGGCAGCAGTGCGGGCCCTGATGAGAGCGGGACCTCGGCGGGAAGGTGGAGCAGGTGAGCAGGTGGTGGCAGGCCAAGGTGGGGACCAGTGGCGGCGGGGGATGGGGTTGCCGCCTGGCTCCCAGGCGCTGAGGGAGCCGGGTGGGGGCCCCATGACTCAGGCGGAGCGGGGAGGGGCGGGGACCCGGAGGCCCAGGTACTGCCCAGGGACTAGAGGTCAGGTGGGACCTGCCCTTCCACACCAGATGCTCATACTTCAATCGCTGGCCAGGCCTAGGGACCGCACCCATGCACAAATTTCGTGCACTGGGCCTCTAGTACACAGAATAAAAAGAGTAAAACTGAAGTCCAAGATATTTGAGGAGTATGTAACAGAGCCCTTATCCATTTTGAATGTGTTTAAGTTATATGACCAGGTGAATGCTCCCTGACATATCACAGATTTTCCCAGGTGAGACTATTGGACTGCTACTGGTAATCTGAGGAACTCTGGAATACAGAAGTGGTGCTGAAAGACTGGAAGCAGGCAAATTCTGTTTTGATTTTAGAAGTGGAGAGAAGGGTAGATTACTCAAACTAGATCATTGATTTGTAGAGATCCACTCAATTGTACTCAGGAGATTATGAGGTCTAAGTCAATCAGAGCTTCATAATCCCATAGACTTGGCTCAGGGTTGGGCATGTAACCCAATCTAGACCAATGAGATGCCATCAACTTGAAGCTGAGAGGATATAAATGACCCTAGATACTGCAGTCATCTTTATACCAAAGGACTGGACCCAACACCCAAAAGAACAAGCCTGAGAGAGAGTGGACCCTGGTCACATCATTTACTATGCTTTTTAAGTATTATTAGCACTCCATTCTTGATCTCAGAACTGTGTGACTTTAAAGTCTCCTTCCTTCATCAAGCATACTACGTACTCTGACTCTCTCAGTCTTTATCCTTATGCTCAAGGAACTCTTCTTAACTGACAGGACAGACAGAATGTGATGGAGGGGAGAGAAAACTGGACAGGGATCTCAGAATAAAAAATATCAATATTAAAAGAAATACAGCTCTGGTCAGTGTGGCTCAGTTGGTTGGAACATCATCCCATGCACCAAAAGGTCATGTGTTTCATTCCTGATCATAGCACATACCTAGGTTGGACCAGGTTCTGGGACTTACTGGAGGCAACCAAGCCATGTAATCTCTCTTCCATTGATGTTTCTCTCTCTCTCTTCCTCCCTATCTAAAATCAAGAAGAAGAAAAAAAAGAAATATAAACATATACAGTATATGCTAGCAGAATAAGTGATATATATTTTTTAAAATATATTTTATTGATTTTTTACAGAGAGGAAGGGAGAGGGATAGAGAGCTAGAAACATCGATGAGAGAAACATCGATCAACTGCCTCCTGCACGCCCCCTACTGGGTATGTGCCCGCAACCAAGGTACATGCCCTTGACCGGAATCGAACCTGGGACCCTTCAGTCCGCAGGCCGACGCTCTATCCACTGAGCCAAACCAGTTAGGGCAGTGATATATTATTGATGTGCAAATGGTGATGGCATGAAATGCTGCGAATGAAAAAGAGGCAAACGTTTGGGTGAGCAGGTTGGCAGAAGCAAAAAAGGGCTATCTGGGAGATTCCACTCTCTCCCCCTCATTTGCCACCATGGCCATCTCTCGGTTCTAAAAAACGAACTTCTTTTCTTATCTCAAAGCAATTATGCTACCGTCTGGATGCTCCTTCCCCAGATCCTCTCATGACTGGCTCCTTTCTCACACTTGGAATCTCTGTTCAAGCGTCACCTCTTCACGAGTACCTGTCCTGGGCAACCAACCTAACCCGGCCCTTTCCCTCTCCCACCACCTGTTACTGGCTTCCAAGTTCTTATCACCACCCGTATTCACTTAAAATGTTTAGTTTATCGACCCTTCCCACCACTAGCATGGATGCTCCCTGAAAGCGGAGTTTGTCTTGAACCCCTCTTTTGCTTTCTACCCAAATTCTGACACAGAGCGACAGGTAATGAATAAATTAATACTTGCTGAACAGAATGAATGGCAGAAAGTGAGACAGCCTGGGAGGAAAGCCGGCGTTGCCGTCAGACTGTTCCTGGGGAAGGCGATAGGAAAGGGGCAGGAAAAGCCAGCGAGGCTAGAGGCCGCGTAGAGGAAGCTGAAGGTTTCCGTCGGCGGGAAGAGGGAGGCGGGATCAGGCCTTCGGCGTCCCCCGGCCACGCGAGGGGCAGGCGGCCGGGTGGGCAAAGGGGCACACTTCGTGACCAACTCCTGTGCGTCCCCTTCCGGGAAACCAAACTCCAGGCTCTCTTCAGACTAACCCTCCCCCACCCCCGGGTCCCGCCACGGGGACCCTACGCAGCCGTCTCCTGCGATATCGCTAGCCCACGGACAAAAACTTTATGCCCGGCCCGAACAGCGAGGCGGCTCCGTGTGAGAAAAACATCCACCCTCTGCCGATCCGTCTGAGGACCCGAGACCGGCCGTGCATCCGGACGCCGCTCAACCGCCGACTGACGCGCTTCTCCCCGCCCCCAGCCCGCCCCGCACCCAACAAGGGCCCTCACTTACGCTTGTCTCCGGGCTATGAGTCGATGCATGGGAGTCGCCATCTTAGCGCGGCTGAGGTATGCCGCGCTGAATTTTGGGAAACTCCTCGGAAGGGGCGGGGCTTCGAATGCAGAGGACGCAGGCGTGGGCGGAGCTAGCCCCGCCTCCGCGGCTTCTGGGCGGGGCGTGGAGCTGGGTCTGAGGTGTGGGCGTCTGGTTCGCCGAGGAGGGGTGAGGCCGGAGGTCTGGTCTGAACGGGGTTTGGAAGGGTCGGTACTTGTCCTGCTGACCCTGGAACGACACGGATTCGAACGGTGCGGGTCCGCTTATACACGGGTTTTTTCCCCACAATAAATACAGTTGTTCCTGCCTATCCACAGGCTTCGCATTCGCGAATTCAACCCATCTTGGGTGGAGACCATCAATTGAAAGACTGACTTTAGCAAACCATGAAGTGAAAATGTATGTTTATTTCTATTTTTATGTATTTCATAGGGACCAAATGACACTATGTAAGTAAAGCTTCTTTGTCAGTGGGTAAAAGATGCTACAAATAATTATTTTAGGCTATTTTAGCATTTAGTGACAGATTATAGAAATTTTATTACCTTAAATCTATTTTCTTTGAAACATATAACTTTGAAATATGTATAAGTTTCTGAGTCCCCATTCACTTTTTAAAAAATATTTTTTTATTAATTTCAGAGAGGAAGGGAGAGGGAGAGGGAGACAGAAACATCAATGATGAGAGAGAATCTCCGATCGGCTGCCTCCTGCACACCCCCCACTAGGGATCAAGCCCACAACCCGGGCACGTGCCCCCCAACAGGAATTGAACCCAGGACCCCTCAGTCCGCAAGCCAACGCTCCATCCACTCAGCCAAACCAGCCAGGGCCCCATTCACTTTTTAAATTAATAATTATCCAACACCTAAAATGTTTTAGAAACTGAAGATAAAGCATTGAATGAATAAAGTTCTTGTACACATGGAGCTTTCTTCAGATAATAAAAAGAGATAATGTCCAACAAACATAAATACTCTAAAGAAAAATAATTGAGTGGCCCTAGTCAGGTAGCTCAGTTGGTTAGAGCATCGTCCCATAGCCAAGGTTGGGGTTCCTCCAGGTCAAGGCACATACAAGAGTCAGCCAACGTATGCATAAATAAAGTGGAACAATAAATCAATGTCTCTCTCTCTTGCTCTTCCCCCATTCTTCTCTCCCTCTCTAATATCATTAAATAAATTTTTTTAAAAATAAAAAGTGATTTAGTATTGGTTGAGATCCACCCAGAAGGTGATATCATGTGACCTTTGAGCACACTTTATTCTCAAAACAATGGGATCTTACTATCTGTTCTGTACTTCAGCTTGCTTTGCTTACTCCTCAGTGTATGCAGGAACTTCTTTTTCCATATCAGCACATACAGAGCTAATTCATTATTTTCATATATTATACTATATGGATTACATGGTTATTCCACAATTTATCCAACCAGTATTGTTGAACAATTATTGTTGAACAATTAGATGATTTACCACAAAGATGGAATGAACAGATTTTTAAAAAATATTTTTTCATTGATTTCAGAGAGGAAGGGAGAGAGAGATAGAAACATCAATGATGATAGAGAATCACTGATCAGCTGCCTCATGCACACCCCACACTGGGGATAGAGCCTGTAACCCAGGCTTATGCCAATGAATCAAACCCGTGGCCTCTTTGTTCATAGGTCGACGCTCAACCACTGAGCAACACCAGCCGGGCGGAATAAACAGATTTTTAAGCATTCACTGTGTCTCTGTAAGATGACTTTCTTTTTTTAAAAAAATATATTTTTATTGATTTCAAAGAGGAAGGGAGAAGGGAGAGACAGAAACATCGATGATGAGAGAGAATCATGGATCAGCTGCCTCCTGCACGCCCCCTACTGGGAATCAAGCCTGCAACCTGGGCATGTGCCCTTGGCCAGAATCGAACCTGGGACCCTTCAGTCCACAGGCCAACGCTCTATCCCAGGGGTCCTCAAACTACGGCCCACAGGCCACATGCAAATACAAATATTGTATTTGTTCCCGTTTTGTTTTTTTACTTCAAAATAAAATATGTGCAGTGTGCATAGGAATTTGTTCATAGTTGTTTTTTTTAAACTATAGTCCGGCCCTCCAACGGTCTGAGGGACAGTGAACTGGCCCCGTGTTTAAAAAGTTTGAGGACCCCTGCTCTATCCACTGAGCCAAACCGGCCAGGAAAAGATGACTTTCTAGAAGAGGAATTGCTGGGTGAAAGAATATGAGCACTTTTAATTTTGATAGGTATCATCTATTGGCCTTTAAATAGGTTGTACCCAACACTGCTTCCTCACCAGACCTGAGAATGGTCAAACTTTAACTTTTGCCTATCTAATAAACCAATATGATATATTATTGATAAGGTTAAGTACCTTTCATATGATCACTGAAAACTATCTTTCATGAATTGTCTGTTCAAATTATTTGCCTATTTTTCTATTGGATTTTTATCTTTTTAATATTGACTTATAGAAACTTTTAATATTTTACATATAAACCTTTTGCTTTATATTTTACAAATATTTTCCTGCCCTGACCTGTTTATAAGCACCTGTGCTTAGGGAGCTGAGCACAGATCAAGGTCCACTTTCTGGGCTGGCAAACTGCATTTAACTTTGCACTGGGTCATATATGTTACGTAGGTGGTTTTGCACCAGAAATAAAGAAGACTTGGTTTTGGTTTTTTGTTTTTTCTTTCTTTCTTTCTTTCTTTCTTTCTTTCTTTCTTTCTTTTCTTTTTTTTTTTTTAGAGAGAGAGAGAGGGAGAGGGAGAGATAAACATCTATGTGAGAGTGAAACATTGAGCAACTGCCTCCTGCACGCCTCCTACCAGGGATTGAGCCCACAACCTGTGCATGTGGCCTGAACAGGCTTTCTGCACACCCCTTACTGGGGATTGAGCCTGAAACCTGGGCATGTGCCCTGACCAGAATCTAACCTAATTGAACTGAACTGGAAATCTTTCAGTGTATGAGCCATACAGGCCAGGGCTACTTGACTTCTTAAGGAGATGTGCCCATCCCTCTAGTCACAGGGAAACTGACACCTTTTTTTAGGTGCTGACAGCTGTAAGGATCTTGGGATCTCCAGATTAGCAGCCCACCAGATCGAGGAAGATTAGAGGAATATCTCAGGAATGAATGGTGAGCAGAAAAAACAAAAGATGTACATTATGTCCTATAACAGGACCATTCTATAAGATCTTTCCATATAAACTTGTCACATCTAGATACAATGGGAAAGGTAACAGTGTTTTTGCAAAGACCTACAGGTGGCCAAACATTTAGAAAGGCCTTACAGCAAATGCAAAGCAAATCAGCTGAAATGAAAATCCCCCTCTCAGCTCTCTTTCTCCCTTTTCTAGCGAGGATGAGACACTTCTGTGCTCTAGATACAAACACTTTAATTACCAAGTCAGATATATGATGATTGTTTTATTAAAGTTCACGTGAAATTTGGAATGATGCTCTAGTATTTCTTCCAGATAAATCCTCATTCATCAAAATTCTCTGGCTGCCCACCCCCTCCACTGTACCTTCTAACTTCTCTATCTCTGTTCCTGCCCAAGGTCATACTTGGATATGAAGCTGCATCCCCCTTGCAAGTCCCACCAGAAATCCCATCACACTACGCATCTCATGATTTTATTGAAGATTGGTAGGGGGTAGTAGAAGGTGGCCACATTGTAAATGACATGACCTATGTCTCTCTCCTGGTAATCAATGACCTCCCTTACTTCCTCTTAAAGGATCAAGACTCCTCTGCTCCTTCCCAAACCTCACAGTCCTTAATCATAACCTTGTGAAACTCTCTGGAAAGTGAGGTATGGTAAATCGTCGCGCCCCCCCACCCCCAAGTATAATGTATATTTCAAAGCCCACCCAAGCCTATCTGGATTCCTCAACTCTAATATTCTGGGGCATAACATTTTCTGTCACGACGTCAACACTGTAAGACAACTTTTAAGACGTTTTCAGCTCATAATGACAGTCCTCTGAGACTGGGTGTTAGTGACCCTGTATTCCCAGCTATGCTGGACCAGTCAGGATCTCTTACCTGGGAATTTTGTATTTTTATTTTATTTTATTTTATTTTATTTTTTTCTATCACCATTTATCACCTCAATGCCCTCTTCCACCTCCCCTCCTGGGGAATTTTAGATTTGAACTAAAGCTCTTCAGTTTTTATCCCTTTGTGGGGCTGGGCTTGAAGCACGTTCATTCTGAGCTGAGGGGCAGCCAGTCTATGGAGAGAGAAATCTGTTCCTCAGAGAAAGAAGTATATTAAGAAACTTTTAGCCCTGGCTGGTTTGGCTCCGTGGATGGAGCATCGGCCTGCAGAATGAAGGGTCCGGAGTTTGATTCCGGTCAGGGGCACATGCCTGGGATGCCTGGGTTGCAGGCTTGATCTCGAGTAGGGGGCGTGCAGGAGGCAGCTGATCCATGATTCTCTCTCATCATTGATGTTTCTCTCTCTCCCTCCCTCTTCCTTTCTCTCTGAAATCAATAAAAATATATTTAAAAAAAGAAAAGAACTTTTAGCTGGAGGTAATAGAATCCTTGACTCAAGAGGTTTCATGCTTTCCTGAGTGTGTCTGTAATGCTGTCTTTGTTGGTTATTCTTGTTTCTCTAGTCTATGCTGATTGGCCTCTGTGTTAATGCCCAGTGTATGACAGGTGTCCAGTATAGGTGTCCTTAGAGGGCCAGTCTGGGCCTCCTATTCCACAGTTCCCTGATAAGGAAGACCTCAGCTCTAGCTTGACCATTTCTTCTCAACTGCTGCCTCTTGTTACGAGGGTCACCTCTCCCAGCAGCAGCCTTGTTGGGTAGGGACTGGGGACAGTCCACGTTCAGGCACCTATTCCAATGTGCAGTGGATCCAGGGAGAACATATTCCCTGTCACACCAGACTACTTTCCTCTCTTGGCCTTTTCTTAGAGCCAGCTCGCTCCAGTTCTCTTCTCCTTTGTTCATATTTGTCCCTTCTTTGTCAAAGGGGGAAATTGGCAAGCACACTGCCTCAGCAGATGGCCAAGGAAAATGCAGGATGCAGGTC